TAATTACTCTAGGGTTGAGATTTGGGTTCACTATATAGAAATAGTACACGTATATACTCAAAACGGTGGTGATGTGTGACTAGTAAATTATTCATCTGCAATTCCAAGAAAATACTATTTTCGATATTTCTGAAATATGGGTCAGGTTTTATGACTTAGTCCTCTGAATCGTTCAAGATCAAGGCAAGTATTTTCAGAGAAACTTCACAGAAATATTCAGCAAACGCGGTGGGAATAGATATGGATGCCTACTGGGGAAGAGCTTACATGGTCGCGGAGTTCAATGCCATAACCTTTACGAGTGCCGACATTGACGGATCAGTTAGTGTCAAATGATGCAATAGGGATGGCGGGGTTTTGTCTTATGCGGGGAAGGCTCATAGTGTGTTATGGTCTCTTTCTCGAAGCAATTAATGGGAAAGATCCAATTGTTATTATTATCCCAACTTCCAAGCTTGGGGGAAAATTGACAATGCTCCGTGGAGTGGCTCGATTTTCTTATAAAAATATAGGATTTTTCACATATCGAATATTAAGCAAAAAAAAAAAAAAATGGGAAATAAAATGTGATGCTTCTTTTTAAGTAATGAATAGATTTTAGTCTCTAATCTTTATAGTGCGTAATCTTAGAATTTTCATGAGCATTAGTGGATGATGTGGTCTATCTCCTATGGAAAAAAGCCATATTTACAGGCTTTTGGTTTACATAATTTTTACAGTGCAGTAACTGGTTGGAGCGTTTTATTTAACTTCCAATAAATTATTGCCAAGTGTTATCTGTGAAACAATTTTGTGAAAAAAATTTTGTAAGTGTAGCATGATTCATCTCCTATAGTGTGATCTCAAAAAGGTTTCGAGTTGATACAGAAAAGCAGTATTCAATGTGGTTCTTTTTGAAACCTTGATATGCACTGGGCAAAATTTTTATTTTTCAAATTTTTAATTAATTAAAGATAAAATATCAAATCTTATTTACAATCATTGATTAATATAAAAGTATATCGAAGGATTCCCTAATATGTGAATTGGTGTGGTTCAACTCTCTAATCTTTAAAATTTAGATTCTTGATTTGTATCTTATTTAAGTATGTGAATGGCTCCATAAGTCATGGAATTTGTCAATGTAGACATTGGTAGTTCTCTTCCATAATCTCTTTTAATTTTATTCTTTAGTATACTTATTTTAACCATTAGTGACAAATATGATCTTCTATTCATGGTGGATGAAAGTTATCTTGTCGACTATTGACGTGACAATGCCACACAATTCTCAAAAATTGTGAGCTTGTCATGTTAGCTATAGACATATTTTATCTTATTCACTATGGGTAAGAGATCATTTCTACCATTAATGGTCCGCCTATTCATTGCCGGTATATTCTTAGAAAAAAATTTAGTACCTAGACATCTTTACTTTAGAACCGAGCCAGTCCCCTGATTGGCACAAGTTGCATTTTAGCAACAAAATCTTTAACATGTAAATTCGTTCCATCCCTGGGAAAGCCCATAACCCATTTCATACAGGCCCAAGAAGGCAGGCTTAGAACACGAATTTAGTTTCGGTTCCCGATGTTGCAAATTCGTGCAACCTCAAAAGAGTTTCATTTTGAGAAAATTTCATAACTAAGAGGATAACTATTACCCATTTCAAAAGTAAGAATAAAAATTTCAAAGTTCAAAAATCAGATATTTCATTAAATTTTATTTATAATTTTATAAATTAATTATATATTTCATTAATTTAATATATTAAGGTCACAGATCTATATAATTTGATCACAAATTAACGATTAGTTAGTCACTTATTATTTTTAAGTCACAAATCAAAATTTTTAATGTCACAAATCATTTCAAGGTCACAATTCAAAAATTTCGTAGGTCACAAATTTGTTCGTCGGTCACAAATCAAAAATTTATATGTCATAGTTTATTTATAAGTTACAAATCACAAATATTATAAGTCATAAATTATTAAACAATCACAAATTAATAATTTTTTAGGGTACATTACTTTTTTGTCACAATTTATCTTTTTTATTGGTCATATATTGTTTATTAGTCACATGTTAACCTATTTAATTGTCACAATTAACAAATAATTGTGAACACTACTAACACTTGTGACCACCACTTTACCACCACCTCCAACACCACACCACCATAGCTGCAAGAACCACCGCCACCACCACTACCCAATCCAGCTCAACTATCGACCAAGTTTCCATTGCACACCATTCTTCACAGCACTGCACTACCACCGAAAAATCCCCAAAATCAACGTCACTGCTGTCGCTGCCACAACACTGCACCACCACCAAAAAATCTCCAAACTCGATGTCGCGTTGTGACCACCACCAACTCACTGCCTGTTTCAACATTCACTAACACAACCAATTTAAATCAACCATTTCCTTCTCATCTACCAAAAAACAACTAGCACCACTAACATCACCATCGCCTCAAAGCATGGCAAACACCACCACCACAACTGCACACAGCCAACAAAACCTCAACCAAAAATTTTCAGCACCACCAGATTTTCCCCAAATTTTTTGGTTGAGTGGCCGCAGTCGCGATTAGATCTTGACCAAAATTTCCCTAAATTTTTCGGTCTGAGCAGCCGCTGCGCAGTGCCGCTCACACTGCAAGCAGCTACGACGCGTCATCGGAGCAGTGACATTTGCAGCGACTTCCGATGAAAGTTTTCCGGTAGTCGAGATATTGAAAAGAGATAGAAAAATGTGAAAGAGAGAGAGGAATATGGGTTAGGTGGGATTACTGGCGTTTTTCTTCAGGCAATAGAGAGAGAGAGAGTGAGACGATAGAGCAATGTAGAGAGAGAGAGAGAGAATATTGGGAAATTAATTAGGGCTTGTGTGTATAACGGAGTATATATATTTAATAAAAAAATATTAATTAAAATAAAACATCTGATTTTTGAAAGGTTAAATTATCCATCTTATTTTAGAATTGTGAATTTTTAAAGTAGGGAATTGTGTAATTTCCACTTTCTTTTTCCCTTTTTTTTGGGACATAAAAAAGTCTTATTTCCATCAATATAACCCAAAATAGCCTGGACAGTAAAGCTTGAGGGCTTCCCAAATCATTCCGAAGAAGAAAGGTGCATTACAAAATATATAGTGAGAGCATTATGTTTATTTTATGTCGAATAAAATTATTAAACATAAAGGGAAAAATGTGCTAATATTAAAGAGATGGCACTCTTGGGCGTGAATAGATGTGTCTTTAACTACTATGACCATATTGATACAATCGATTCAAGGTAAAAGTTGTTGAAATAAAGTTTATTGGCAAAACGCAATCCCGAGATGCACTCAGCAAAATATGACAAAATTTGTCACTAGAAATATTTTGAGAATGTAGCAAGGACTCCTCCATGGTTTCTAACCTCTCCAATAAAACATAAATATTCCCATCTAGCAGAATAGAAAAAAGTCTACGCTTAATTTTTAACCCCCATTTGGTGGTCGAGTCCACATGCGACGAGCTGCAACGTCAAATTTGAACTTATGGAGATATCAATGAAAATATTTGGGAGACGACAACCTTTTAGATTGAAGAGAAAACGGTAGATAAAATTTTGACAATTTTTAAAAACATACCCTAAACATAAATTAATTCCAAAAATATTATTCATCGTTTTAAATTGCAAAAATTTTATATTTCCTCTATAACGTACCAATGTAACACTTCTTTGGAACACATTATGCTTTCCATAATTAATCAATAATGTTACACTTCTATATCATATGTAAAATATAATTTATTACATTGTTGTCGTCATTGTTAGCAACCACCCATCATCGTTGGCAACCTGCTCCACCACTTGCACCCTTCTTCATCCACCATCAATCGCACTCCCACCTGCACCTATATCCCATCTTCCACCAAAACTAGCACCACCTCAAAATCCAACACCTCTGCCAAGTCCACTTCCAACCTTGGCTCCAACTCTGTAACATCAACAATAATCTTTAAAGTATATTAAGAAAGAAATTGAGTATCGAAAACCTTTTACGATGGGTCTGGTTAGATGACAGAAATTGTGAGTGTTGTGTTTATGTCTTATATGCTAGTCTTATTAATTGTGGGAGTTTGTTCATGTACATAAAAGTTAATGCTACGTAGCTTTCTACATCAGAGGAAGTTCTCTTAATTGCATTGTACTACATTCGCAAAGGGTTCCATATTATTTAACTGAGACAAGTCATATACATGTCAATTAATAGTGAGTAAGAATACTAGAAATTTTCTCCTTAACAATGTTTCTTGCTCTTGACCATTACAAACTCCAGCACCAAAACTTTTACTCGTACCACCTCGACCTCTTCTCCAAGTCCAGTCGGCATCAAAATGCTGATGAGAGAAAAAAAAATGGTTTTTCTTTCGAACCTGTGAAATTCAACATGAATGAAGAAAGTTGTGGAAAATCAGGACTAGTTCCATCAAATTCAACCATATTTGCCTCAATCTTAGGTGCTTTCATTACCACCACCATGAATAATTGATTTATATGGTTAATTAACAATCGAAAGTTTGAAACAAATCTAACAATAACTTATATAAAATTTGTCCCACAAACCACTCCATCTTTATCCAGATTATTTTACGTGACCTACCCACTAAAACCACATAAGACTCGTCTGGGCCATTGTGAATCCGGCCCACTGGAAACCTTCAGGGACAAAACCGTCAATTGGGGATGTTGAATTCCTAACTCTGAAGCAAAAGATTATCTTCCCTCACTGCCCCCAATCAATCATCATTGCATTTCACACACTTCCTCTTGTCTTCTTCAGGTAAGCAAGCTATTCTATTGCCGTATCTGTATTTGATGTATCGATTTGTAAAATCATTTAATCTTTCTACGAACTAGCGAATGTTTGAATACTATTCTCTCGAATCTCGATCTCGTTTCAGTTCTTTTTTTTTTTCTTGCTCGTAATTTTCATGCTTGTTTGATTGGTAGGTAAGTAACTCTTTTTGTTCGGTACCTTCAGTTTACTTGATTTACTATGAAATTAATATAATTGGTGAAAAAACAGAATTTGTTTAACTTAGCTTAGTACAAATTCCTTGCGGTCCCGATGAGGTATCTTTTTTATTACGTCAATTAATTTTTTTTTTTACAATTATGTCAATTCGAGCTATGCTAATACTGAGGAAACAACTGTGTTTGATTCTCTGCTCCTGTGCATGCACAATTACATGCGCCTCATATTTTTGAAGCTTCTTTGTTCACTTTTGCCATGTATCTTTGAGGATGTGACGCCATTTCTAATGTGTGGTTCTGATGGACAGTGTTAAATAATCTATACCCTTATTCTTATGAGATTGGTTAGATTTGTATAGTATTGTGGTGCATCTATTGCCAAACACCTATAACCCAGTGCTGTTCATGTGAAGTATCTTTTGTTCGTTTTGGATCTGAATGAAATTCTATTTAACCCCAAAAAGGAAAGACGAGGAAAACAAATGGAAGAAAGTAAAATAGAATTGTCTACTGTAGTCATAGGTCCGTCTATTTATTTTGCTAAAGCCTAAAGGCAAATGTAATCTTGCAAAATGTTTTAGGTTATCTGTCAAAAATGATTATGTGCAAGGTGCAAGGTCTAGCTCTAAAATAATTAATGATTATAAAAATAATGCATTCTCTGTAAATTTCTGAATTAACTTGCATCTGCAAATTGTCTCACTGTTATGCACAGTTGTTTAAAAAATAAGCAGTCATTACACTCGTTAGAAAATAGAATGTCATACCCATTGATTAAAAGAACTATTTGAAGCTTACGCCTCGAAAACTCTCATCACATGAGGCTTTCACGAAGTGTCGTTGTGAGGTTACACCTCAGTTTGGCAACTCATACCTATTCCATTGGATATTGCTACTACAAAGATTCTCGTTGTTTATTGTTTTCGTAAGTCGTTATTCCAATGCCTTCTTAATTCTATTACCATGATGATGTTATTATGAGCTTATGCTGTCCTACAATAGTCTAGTTGGATAAGTTGTCTTTTTTGGAGTGCGGATGATTGGGACAAGCAAATTCTAGAACTTTTTCCAAAATTAAAAAAAGATTTCACCACTCTGTATCCCACCAATGCAATTTGCCTTGTAGCAACATCCCATTGATGTATATTTGTTGTCTATTCCAGGTATTTTTGTAACCCTGAATTTGATTGAAGACGGTTTTAGCCCGTGACCTTCAGCCTTATCAAATTTTATCAGGTTGTCCTCTCGGTTTACTTCTCATATATATTTAATTTGCTGTTTGGACATTGTTATTTGCTTTCTGAAACTGGATTGATTGTTGAAATGCATATAGAGACTCAACTTATTCTGCAGGTTTAACTGATATATTTGCTGAAAGTTACTAAAAATTGATGGTAATTCTGAATAAATACTATACTAGAATTATAATTTGTGCTTTCCTCATTTAGTGGCTGTGTTGTCACTTTTGTTATTCAACTTCATTTTTTGTTCTCGAGTTACTATTTATGTCACTGATTGGTTTCTTCTTATGTAATTTGAGAAGGTGCTCAGTGTCTCCTTGTGTAATTTAAGATGTTATTTGCAATTCTCAGTCATGCTCATTTTCTATAAAGAAACATGCATACCTTTGCATGGACGCACAAAATTTTGTTTAGCAGGACTGAACATGTGTTATAAGATGATTCAATTGTCTCTAAATTGATCCTCAAAACTATGAAGAAGATTAAGGTTTGTAAGTAGATAAGTAATATTAGGATTTCTTTTTGGAAATTTTATTTTACAAAAGAAACCTAAATTAAAATCTGAACTTTAGTGAAATCTACTGAAGTGGTGTACCTGTACTATAAAGAAGAAAAAGGAAAATTGGATATATATCCAGACTTTATATTATTATTATATACAGAAAGGATCATTTTTCTGACATAGTTGGAAGTTCCTCTCGAGGCTCTAGCATGCATACAAATCAGTGGAGGTGCTTCTTAGACTATACTACCAAATTTTTTACCGGTCTCAAAAACAAAATGGGGATGGATTTCTGGTTTTTCCTAACACGGCACATGTTAGCTATCTTCAAAAAATTGTACCACAATGGCTAAAGAATTCTTTACCCTTTCCCTTTTCAGTTTTTGTCATTTCCTCTCACCTTCTGCATGATCACTTCATTTCATGTAAACTATGATGCATAGATACTTCTATTAGGATGGTGTCCATGTCAGACACGTGTAGTGTACTGTGTGTCAGACATCGACAATACTTGAACGCTCCATGACATGGCCAAATAAGTCACATGCCGTACCCTATTTTTCATATTTTCTTTAAATTTGCATTACCTGAAAGATATAGGGATATATATCGAGCAAGTGTTCAATATGGCATGTGTTGTATCCTATATTAAAAATTATAGAAAATTCTAAAGTTCAAAGAATTTAAGTCGATGTGCCTCTAATGTCTACGACCTACTTTTTCCAAAAAATTTGTGTCGGCGATATCCTTGTCCATGCCGGTGACCCTCCCATGCCCAATCAATACCAACATTTTTGGACTTCTAATGTAGTGGTACACCAAAATTGCCTTCGAAATAGCACATCTCAGATGACACCGTTGGATATTTAGTGAAATAACTATTATACCCTTGCTTTTAACTAAAAAGGAGAGAGGAGAATAAAAAGAGAGAACTTCGCTCCCCATTCCCCATTGTTTCGTCCTCCCATTTGGATCGATCTATTTTTGTTTAGATGCTCAAAATAATATACTTCTTTTCCTGATTTTTCGGTGTTGCCTGTGTATTTGTGTCAGTATAATTCAATCTAGTTAAATCTAGACTTCATTGACAGCATTAGCGTAGCTGTTATTGTTGTCGTCACCAATAAAAGATGATATAGATTTTATGCGTACTCCATGGTTTTATCATGTTGATGTTATCGGCTATTTGGTCAGAAAATTTCTATTCATCTATCCATTGCATTCTTTTCATCCATTTCCTCCTTCACATGACCTAGGAGTTTCTACATGTTTGTTTGCTATTTGTACTTCTATGAATCGGTCTTGTTCTTTTGGATTACTTCCTGTAGGTAGTCATTACTTAGATTTTTAACATCTCCATTCAGGAACTTCGGAGTTTAAAATGGAGATGAGTTCCATCATAGATGCATTTGATCGTGTTACAAAGAAGCAGAAATCGTCGTCCTCAAAATCTCAAGAAATAATTGGACAAATTGGGCAAGAAATAGAACAAACTTTATCTAGAATGCAATCAAGTCAAGATTCTGCATCTGCAACTGATCACAAGTTGATCCTTGGAGAGGTAAAAACCAAGTTGAAAGAGATTGCTCCACTCAGCCAACTGGAAGGCGCACACAAGGAACTGAACAGTGCCTTGAGCAAGTATCCAAAGACCATTGAGAAATCCTTCAATCCCGATATATCAAAGGCTTATCGAAATGTCGATTTTGATATTCATACTGTCAATCAAATTATTGCCAGTCATTTCTACCGGGAGGGTCAGTTTGATATTGGTGATTTTTTCATACACGAGTCCAGGGAACCAGAAGCAGCAGCTGATAAATCCCCTTTCTTGGAAATGTATCAGATACTTGAAGCCATGAAATCCCGGAACCTGGAGCCTGCTCTAATTTGGGCTGCCACCAACAATGAACGACTTAAACAAAGTGGATCTGATATTGAACTGAAGCTTCATCGCCTTCAGTTTGTGGAGATCTTGCAGAACAATGGCAGAGATGAAGCTCTGAAGTATGCTAGAACATTTTTTGCTCCTTATGCTACTAGTCGTATGGCTGAAATTCAAAAGCTCATGGCTTGTCTTTTATGGGCTGGAAGACTCAACTCCTCACCATATTCCGAATTATTATCCTCCGTGCATTGGGACAAATTGGCTGAGGAGTTCACCGTGCAGTTCTGCAACCTTATTGGGCAATCCTATGAGAGTCCGTTGAGTGTGACAATTGCAGCTGGAGCTCAGGGGTTGCCAACCCTTCTGAAGCTGATGAATGTGATGAATGGTAAGAAGCATGAATGGCAATCCATGAAACAATTACCGGTGCCCCTGGATTTGGACAGAGAATTCCAGTTCCATTCGATGTTTGTCTGTCCAGTGAGCCGGGACATGGCAAGTGAAGAGAACCCCCCTATGCTGATGTCATGCGGACATGTACTGTGTAAGCAATCTATTACAAAGCTGTCCAAAAATAATAGCACGAGGTTCTTCAAGTGCCCTTACTGTCCCTCTGACGTCGAAGCAGGTCAGTGCAGGCAATTGTATTTCTGATCTTCGTTAAAAGATTTACTAGAGTTGTATTTAGTTGGCCTTCCTACATGCCCCCCACCCCCGATCAAAAAAAAAAAAAAAAAAACTGTA